CCCCGGTGGCAACTTTAAAGGTGCATACCTCGCTTGAATTTGGAGTTAGAGACATCAAAACTAGATAGTTTTGTATGAAATATAAATTGCTTTCTAATAATATACAAATTGGAGAATGAAATTTTCAATTTTCGGGAAAGCTTCTAGTTTCAAACAATCTACCAATGAGACGAGAACATTTTGAACATGCAAACATCTAGACAGACATATTGGTTTCAGAGTTTTCAGAATTTCGGAGATTTCAGAATTCCGAAATTTCAGAAGTGCTGAATTTCAGTATTTAGATTTTTAGATTTTTAAATTTTTAGATGTTTAGATTTTTAGATTTTTAGATTTTTAGATTTTTAGATTTTTAGATTTTTAGATTTTTAAATTTTCAGAAGTTTCTACATTTCAGAAGTTTCTACGTTTCAGAACTTCAGAATTTCTGTATTTCTGATTTTCTGAGTTTCTGAATTTCTGAATTTCTGAATTTCTGAAATTCAGGATGCCAGAATTTTAGATTTTTAGATTTTTTAGGATTCCGGATTTTCCAAATTTCAGCATCTGAAAGTTTCAGAATTTCGGGATTTCAGGATTCCAAAATTCAATATTTTAGAATTTTAGAATTTTAGAATTTCTGAATTTCTGAATTTCTGAATTTCTGAATTTCTGAATTTCTGAATTTCTGAATTTCTGAATTTCTGAATTTCTGAATTTCTGAATATTCAAAAATTTCTGAATTTCTGAATTCCTGAGTTTATGAATTTCTGAATTTCTGAATTTTCAGATTTTTCAGAATTTCAGGATTCCAGAATTTAAGAATCTCAGAATTTCAGAATCTTCGTGATGCCCTAGAAATTTCATTTTCACGTCTTTTTTCGAATTCGCGCTTGCCACCCCGGCCATGTTGAATTGTCAGAATCTACGTCTTCTGAAACTGACGATCCAACGAACTTCCAATAAAATTTTATTCTGAAATTTTTCTCTCAAAAATTTCCACCTTTTTCTAGAATCTCCAGCAATGGATTTGAATCGGAACGCTGTCTTGGTTGACGATGACGTCACGATTCAACCGAAGAAGTTGCCAATTTTGGATGCGGACGATTCTGAAGCAGACTACTTCTCGGATGAGGATTCGATGAATGACGCATTCATGGAGGAGAACGTCTGGAGAAATGAGAGAATGACACGTGGCAGAGGGGATTGTGGAGATGTGGGCGGAGTCAAGAATTATCAGAAGACGTCGAAGAAGGTAAAAAAGAGTTCGGAAATTCCGAAATTCAGAAATTCCGAAATTCAGAAATTCCGAAATTCAGAAATTCCAAAATTCAGAAATTCCAAAATTCAGAAATTCCGAAATTCAGAAATTCAGAAATTCCGAAATTCAGAAATTCC